GCATTGTGGTGGGAGCACCCAGCAGGGCTGTCTCTTTTGGAGCCTGTTGCGTGGGTTTCCACAGGGCTGAGCGCTCAACCGTGTCGCCGGCAGTCAGTGACCCCGAGCGCTCCTCCTGCCCCCGTGGAGCACCCCCGGCCCCAGGGCAGCAGCTGAGTAAACAGAGCAGAGCAGATGGGACGGTCCTGCTGGGCCTGGGAGCTGCTGGGGCAGGGAGCGGAGAGGGGGAGCTGTCAGCACCGGCGGGGCACGGGCTGATGGATGGCAAGGGGAGGCTTCCCACCATCCAGCGTGGACCCCCCCAGCCGATTACCGCTGTCCCCACGCCACCACGCCTGTGGCTCTGCAGGATCGGGAGGGGGCTGGGGGTGCCCCCAGGCTGACGGCGCCACCCCGTGCCTTTGCAGACCCGGCCTTCATCCGCGCCCAGCTCATCCCCGACAGCAGCGAGAGGAACGATGACAAACTCTACTTCTTCTTCCGCGAGAAGTCCGCTGACGCCCCGATGAGTCCAGGGGTCTACTCCCGCATCGGGCGCATCTGCCTGGTGCGTGCAGTGGGGCAGCGGCGGCACGGGCAGGGTGCCGGTGCCGGTGCCGGTGCCGAGCCGCGCCGGGCTGAGCATCATCCCTGTGCCGCAGAACGACGATGGGGGCCATTGCTGCCTGGTGAACAAGTGGAGCACCTTCCTGAAGGCACGTCTCGTCTGCTCCGTGCCAGGACCCGATGGGATCGAGACGCACTTCGATGAGCTCCGTGAGCATCTGGGTGCTGTGGGAAGGGGGCTGGGTCATCCTGGTGGTCCTTCGGCAGCCCTGGAGGCTTTCAGGGCAGGGTGGGGAGGGGACACGGTGCCCCTTCTCTTTGGGAGGTTTGGGAATCCCGTTGCTGGCCCTGTCTGGGAGAGGAGCCGGGAGCCACGGCAAGGGGTCCCTGCCCTTCCCCCCGGTGGTGACACGCTCTTCCTTCTGTCCCAAGAGGACGTCTTCATCCAGCAGACGCAGGACACCAAGAACCCCGTTATCTACGCCGTCTTCTCCGCATCGGGGTGAGCACAGCGCCCTCGTGGCATGGCGGTCCCTGGGGCTTGGGGGCTCCTGCCGAGGTGGGCGAGGGTCCTGGGGATGCTGAGGTGGGCACGGGGTGAGGACGGGGCCGTTGGGGTCAGCCTGGAGGTGGCCGCAGGTCCATGAGGCCGTGGCACTCCTCCTGCCAGGTCAGTGTTCAAGGGCTCAGCCGTCTGCGTCTACTCCATGGCCGACATCCGCATGGTGTTCAACGGGCCCTTCGCCCACAAGGAGGGCCCCAACTACCAGTGGATGCCCTACACGGGCAAGATGCCCTACCCCCGGCCAGGCACTGTAAGCACCCCGGCCACACGTGGGCACGGCACCCGGTGCCACTGCTTGTCCCCGGGGCAGCTGGGAGCCCACCGCTGCGTTCCCCCTGCCCGCAGTGCCCTGGGGGGACCTTCACGCCCTCCATGAAGTCGACCAAGGACTACCCCGACGAGGTGATCAACTTCATGCGCTCGCACCCGCTGATGTACCACGCCGTCTACCCGGCCCACCGCCAGCCCCTGGTCGTGCGCACCAACGTCAACTACCGCTTCACCACCATCGCCGTCGACCAGGTGGACGCGGCAGACGGGCGCTATGAGGTGCTTTTCCTGGGCACAGGTACCCACGCCGCACACCGCAGAGAACGCAGCATGCTCCAGCGCGGCCTTGGAGGGCGTCAGGGGCCCATCCCCTGCCCTGCTGTCCGTCCTAGGACGCCACCGTCCAGCCTGGTCCCTCCCCTGTCCCCACTGCTCGTCCTGGGGTTGCTGCAATCCAGCTTTGCCCTTTACCCTGCCCCGGTGCCCATCTCAGGGCACCACCATCCAGCCTGGTTCCTCCCATCTCCCAGACCCAGCTCTCCAGCCCCATTCCCCGTGCTGGGGGCTCCATCATCCAGCTTGGTGCTTCCCCTTCCATATTGCCCATCCTAGTGCCACCGTGCTCAATCCTGGTCCTTCCCCTGACCCTGTGCCCATCCCCAGCGGCTGTCCCCCCGCCCTGAGTGGTGGCAGCACCTTGCTGGGAACAGTGACACGAGTGGCACACTGCACCCGTAGCAGCAGCAGGAGGCAGATGAAGATGTGCTTGGGGAGGGAGGGGGTGTCCTTCCCCACGTCCCTGGCCCCATCAGGGACCCCCTATCTAGGAGGGGAGGGCGCGGGTGCCCTGCCGGTGGCACTGAGCATCCAGGCACCCTGGTGTCTTGCAGATCGGGGCACAGTGCAGAAAGTCATTGTGCTGCCCCGGGACGACATGGAGACAGAGGAGCTGATGCTGGAGGAGATCGAGGTGTTCAAGGTGAGGGCTGGCTCGTCCTGCTCCTGCCGCTGCCTATCCCCAGCCCAGCCGTGCCCCATTCCACCCCCTGCCTGCAGCTGGCACCAAGTAGTCCCTTGGGCAGCTCAGGGGGGACCTGCAGCATCATCCCTCTGCCTGCTGGCCCCTCGTCCTCCCCAGCTGCCCAGGGTAGGTCTGGGGTGCCCCCAGCATCAGGCTGGGCCCCTCCATGTCCCTTGCTCCTGCCCCCATCTAGGTGCCGGCACCCATCAAGACGATGACCATCTCCTCCAAGAGGGTGAGTGGAGCACGTGGCTGGGGACCAGCACCGGCTGCAGCACTGCCTGTTGTCACCACCCCATGGCAGCAGCCTTCGGGGACACCTGCAAGTGGCCCCAGGGCGAGCCGGCCTCGGGTGGCTCCAGGCTGAGCCCTCTCCACCGCTCCCAGCACTGGGAGGCTGCAGCTAACTGGTGCTGGTCCCTCCTGGCTGGAGACAAGGCCACACGGCCAGGGAACATCTTACCCTGTCCTCTCTGTCCCCCCAACAGCAACAGCTTTACGTGTCCTCGGCTGTAGGAGTGACCCACCTGGCCCTGCACCGCTGCGACGTGTACGGAGAAGCCTGCGCTGACTGCTGCCTGGCGCGGGACCCCTACTGTGCCTGGGACGGCAAGGCCTGCAGCCGCTACTCGGCGTCCTCCAAGAGGTGGGAGCCCAGGGAGGTGGGGGGGCGTGGGGGTCCCCAAGAGGGTCCCCAGGTCACCTCCTGCCTCCCTGCAGGCGGAGCAGGCGGCAGGACATCCGACACGGCAACCCCATGCGCCAGTGCCGCGGCTACAACTCCAATGGTGAGGGGGCGAGGGGCAGGTGGATGGGGGGCAGCCCCTGGGAGGGCATGGGGGTGGGAGGTAGGGGAATGGGGGCAGCGGCCAGGTAGGGCCTTGAGGGCTGATGGATGTGTTGTGGAGGGATGTATTGGGAAAAGGCAAGCGTGGATGGAGGGAGGGACGGATGGAGGGATGGAATATGTTGGGGAAGAAGATGGATGGAGGGTGGATGAATGACTGGAAGTGTTGGAGATTGGATGGATGGATGGATGGATGGATGGATGGATGGATGGATGGATGGATGGATGGATGGATGGATACACTGGAGAGAAGGAAGAGCACAGGTGGATGGATGGATAGATGGACGGATGGAGGAATACATTGGGGAAGAAAGCACAGATGGATGGACAGGAGGGTAGAGGAATGACTAGAAATGTTGGAGTTTGAAGAAAGATGGATGGACGGATGGACGGACAGATGGATGGATGGATGGATGGATGGACGGACAGGTGGATACACTGGGGAGAAGCAAGAGCATAGGTGGCTGGATGGACACTCCAGAGGCGGATGACCATGGGTGGGTGCACAAATGTGCTCATAGTGGGGTGGGCATCAAGCAGCCCCCCAGCTGGCGCTGCCGAGGGCAGAGCTCTATGAGCAGGAGGGCGGTGGGGCATGGGGACACATGTGAGCTCCCTGCCATGCCGTGCCCTGCCACCGCAGCCAACAAGAACGCGGTGGAGGCCGTGCAGTACGGGGTGGAGGGCAGCACCGCCTTCCTCGAGTGCCAGCCGCGCTCGCCGCAGGCCACCGTCAAGTGGCTGCTGCAGAAGGACAACAGCGACCGGCGGAAAGAGGTAGGAGGAAGGAGAAGCCGGGGGGCCGCGGGCTGGGCCCGGCAGCACCACGGCACGGGGCTGAGCCTCCCTCGTCCCCTTCCCTGCAGCTGCGCACCGAGGGCGGCCGGGTGCTGCGGACGGAGCAGGGCTTGCTGCTGCGCGCCCTGCAGCTCTCCGACGGCGGCCTCTACTCCTGCACCGCCACCGAGAACAACTTCAAGCACACGGTGACCAGGGTGCAGCTCCGCGTCCTGGCCGCCCGCGCCGTCCACGCCGTCCTGCTCCAAGCCGAGGTGCCCCCCGCCGGGCTGCCGGGAGCCCCCACGCCGCACTACCAGGACCTGCTGCAGCTCCTCAGCCGCCCCGAGCTGGGACTCCTCGACCAGTACTGCCAGGGCTACTGGCGGCCCCCGGCCCCCGGCCCCCCCGAGCCGCTGGCTGCCCTCAAAGCCAAGGAGCTGCAGGACCAGAAGAAGCCACGGAGCCGCCGGAATCACCCGCCAGAGACCTGCGGGCACACATGAACCCCTCGCCAGGGACTTTGCTAGCACAGTGGTCTATTTTCCCCCCTTTTAATATTAAAAAATATCTATAAATAAAATAAATATATATATATATATCTACACACACATGCAGGCAGACACGCATGCATGTGCGCCCCCCCCCCCCCCAGGCCCCCCACCCCCAGCGGTATTTATTTGCAGGTTGTACATAGCCACTCGGTGACACCAGCATCACCTCCCGGCACCGGGCAGAGCAGAGGACCCTGGGGGGGGGGCTGCATCCTGCATCCTCCTTCCCTTTGCCCCCCCAAGCCCCTTGGGGTCCAGGATCCCGGCTTGCACCACCGAGGGCTGGGTGCCAGGGTTTGGGTCGCGAGGGGGTGATGCCCTTGGGGGTACAGCGGGGGACAAGACAGGGGCAGGGGGGACAAAGCAGGGACAGGGGGAGAGGTGGCACTGGGCAAACAGCCCACCCATGGCCTCAGTGCCTCAGTTTCCCCACCCACCCCTCTCCAGTTTTTTAGGACCAGGCTGGGCGAGGTGGCTGCGGGCATGGGGACATGGCCTCGGCCCCCTCTGGGGACAGGACCTGTGCCATGGGTGGGGGGGGCACATCCAGGAGGGGTGAGACAGGGCTGCAGTGGGGTGGCCTCCAGCACCCATGGGTGCTGCTGGAGCACCCTGCCCACTGCTGGGCATTGTAAATAGTTGTAGGTGAGGAGTGTGCGTGTGCCCCCCCCAGCCTGGAGCACGCCCAAATAAATGCTGGCTTTGGGATGGATGCGGGCGCCTGCGTGTGCTCTGTTGGGGACAGGTAGCAGGCAGCTGGGGGGGTCACTTAGCACTGAGGGGGGGGTGAAGAGGGGGACAGGGAGGGGACAAGGGCACCGCATGGTAGGGGGTCATGCTGGGGGCACAGGGGCGCAGTACTGGGTGGTGCTGGGGGGCACCACCAGGGGCACTCGGGGTTGGTACTGGGGGAAGGACCAGGGCTGTGGGCTCTGGTACTGGGATCCAGTACTGGGTGGTACTGGGAGCGTGGTGGTGGGTGTTAATGGGCAGTACGGATGGCTGGTGCTGGGGGCAGTGGGTGTGGTACTGGGATGGACTGGGGAGTTCTGGGCCATAGTAAGGAAGCGCTGGGCTGTACTGGGCTGTACGGGGCTGTACGGGACCGTACTGGGCTGTACGGGGCTGTACTGGACTGTGCTGGACTGTGCTGGGCTGAACGGGACCGTACTGGTCTGTACTGGTCTATACTGGGCTGTACGGGGCTGTGCTGGGTCCTTCCGCCCCCTGGCGGCCGGGATCGGCGCTGCAGGAGCCCAGGGGTCGGCGTCGGCGGGGCCGGGGGGGGCACAGCGGGGACAGCGAGGAGGGGGGGGGGACAAGGGACAAGGGGCTGGGGGGCACAGGGCACAGGGAGCTGCTGGGGACAGCAGGGAGGGGACACAGCGAGCTCCCCGGAGTGTCCCTGGGGGTACTGGGGGGCACTGGGGTTTCCCATTAGGGTACTGGGGGATGTTACTGGGGGGGGGGAAATGGGGTCCCTGGTGGTGCGGGAGGGGTCCTGGGGACACCCAGAGTGGTGGCACTGGGCCTGCTGGGGGGCACTGGGAGTGCAAGAGGGGAACACTGGGAACACCACTGGGGGGGGGTGGAAAGGGACACGGGTGGGGTGAGCTGGGTGGGTGCTGGGATCATCGGGGGGGGCGCTTGGATGGCTCACGAGGGAGCCTGGGGAGGGAGGGCAGGACCACCGTGAGCCTGGGGACAACAGGGACACCCCCACCACGGGGCCACCGCACCACGGGGCCGGCCTGGGGACAGCAAGACCCCGTCCCCATGCCCACAGCGGGGACAGCTGGGTGCCCCCCCCCTCACCCCACCGCCCTTCCCCGTGGCAGAAGCGCTGACGCTGGGAGCCAGGGGATTGCTGAGCTCAGCCCGGGGCAGATTTCGGGGGTTTTATCCGGGGCCTGGCTTAAGCCGAGCTCCTTGTCCCCGTCCTTGGCCCACTTGGGGTGGCGGTGGCAGCGGCGGCGGCGGCGGCAGCAGTCGGGCGGTGGGCGAGCGCTGGAGGCGTCGGGGGGCTGGCGCACGCTGCCCGTCCTGGTGCTGACCTCCACCGAGCGGGCGAGCCGGCGGGCGGCGGAGGCGAGGATGGGCGCCGGGGCCAGCGCCGAGGAGAAGCACTCGCGCGAGCTGGAGAAGAAGCTGAAGGAGGACGCTGAGAAGGATGCCAGGACCGTCAAGCTGCTGCTGCTGGGTAGGCGGGCACGGCCTCAAAAGGGGTTGGGAGGGGTCAGGGTTTTGGGGAGGGGGTGCCCAAACCTCCTGTGCTGCAGCCCCGCAGCCCACCCAGCAGCCCCAAGATCCCCAGAACCCCTTAAACTCACCCAGCCCATCCTACAGACCGCCCTCTATCCCCCAAGCACCCCATACACACTCCTGGGCATCCCCAAACCCACCCCAGCCCCCCGCTGCTCCGAGGCACCCCCAAATCCCTCCCAGCCATGGCTCCAGCTCCAGGGTCTCCCCCTGTGCCCCCCCAGCACTGCGGGTCCCTCCCGGACCCCCGCTGGTGCTCAGTGCTCCCACGGGTTCTGTCTGCCCCCATATCCCATCCCAGGGTGTTCCCCCCCTGCGCTGCCACACCGTGTCCCCAATCCCAACCCCGGTCCCCCCAGAATGTCCCCAGCTGAGCCCCCCACAGCTCCCATTGCCCTATCCTTGGGGCTGCAGCATCACCACAACCCCGGAGCCCTCCCAGACCCCACTGTGACCCCCTCCCCACCCTGGGGCTGCAGGATGCTTTGCTGTGCACGCAGCCCCCCCCCCAAAAAAAAAGGGCGACCACCGCTGTGACCCTGCTTTGCCTCCACAGGGGCAGGGGAGTCGGGGAAAAGCACCATTGTCAAGCAGATGAAGTAAGTATTGGGGGGAGAGGCTGGTGGGGGGCAGCCCATGGGTTCCCCACACCCCTCGGTGCCCAGCTCAGCCCCGTGCCCCCCGTCCCGGCCAGGATTATCCACCAGGACGGTTACTCGCTGGAGGAATGCTTGGAGTTCATCGCCATCATCTACAGCAACACGCTGCAGTCCATGCTGGCCATAGTGCGCGCCATGAGCACCCTCAACATCCAGTACGGAGACTCGGCCCGCCAGGTGAGGGGCACTCAGCGCAGGGCACGGGGACCCCTCCCTTAAAATTAACCCCCCCTGACCCTGCTGAGTCCCTGTCCCGCGCAGGATGATGCCCGCAAGCTGCTGCACCTCTCGGACACCATCGAGGAGGGCACCATGCCCAAGGAGATGTCAGACATCATTGGGCGGCTCTGGAAGGACGCGGGCATCCAAGCCTGCTTCGACCGTGCCTCCGAGTACCAGCTCAACGACTCGGCTGGATAGTACGTGCTGGGGGGAGGGTGGGGGGGCACCCATGGGTGCTGGGGGTGCAAAACCTGGTGGGAGATGCCTGATGCCCGCGGTGTGCCTGGGCAGCTACCTGTCGGACCTGGAGCGCCTGGTGACCCCCGGCTACGTCCCCACGGAGCAGGACGTGCTGCGCTCTCGTGTCAAAACCACCGGCATCATTGAGACCCAGTTCTCCTTCAAGGACCTCAACTTCAGGTAGGGGTTGAGCTTGAGCAAACCCCCCCCCCCCCCACCTTGCCCCATAGGGCTCTGGTGTGGGGGTGGTCAGGGGGTGTGGGGGGGGTGTGCTGAGCCCTCCTGGTCCTGCCCAGGATGTTCGACGTGGGCGGGCAGCGCTCGGAGCGCAAGAAGTGGATCCACTGCTTCGAGGGGGTGACCTGCATCATCTTCATCGCGGCCCTCAGCGCCTACGACATGGTGCTGGTGGAGGACGACGAAGTGGTGAGTGGTTGTGCTGGGGGTGGTGGGGGGCTGAGGGGGGCTGAAACGGGGCTAACGAGGCCGTGTCCCTCCGCAGAACCGCATGCACGAGAGCCTGCACCTCTTCAACAGCATCTGCAACCACCGCTACTTCGCCACCACCTCCATCGTCCTTTTCCTGAACAAGAAGGACGTCTTCCTGGAGAAGATCAAGAAGGCCCACCTCAGCATCTGCTTCCCCGACTATGACGGTGAGGCGGCCGTGGCTCCTCCGCCAGGGGCAGGCCGTGAGGGGAGGGTGGGGAAGCTTCGGGTGCCAGCCCCCCCCCCTTTGAGGGGCACCCACCGGGTGTCTCCAGCACCCCAGGGCTTGGGGAAGGGGGGGGGGGGACACACGGCCCTGCCTGCCACCAGGTCCCAACACCTACGAGGACGCCGGCAACTACATCAAGCTGCAGTTCCTGGAGCTGAACATGCGGCGGGACGTGAAGGAGATCTACTCGCACATGACCTGCGCCACCGATACCGAGAACGTCAAGTTCGTCTTCGACGCCGTCACCGACATCATCATCAAGGAGAACCTCAAGGATTGCGGGCTCTTCTGAGCCCCGGCCCCCACCAACCCCCTCCCACCCCCCTCCCACACCCCGCTGGTGCCCCTAACCCCCCCCTGCCACCGCCCCTGCTTGTCCCCAGATGCCGGCGATGTGACCTGCGCAGCTCCAGAGCCCCCCCGGGCATTTGGCCACAGCCCTGTCCCCTCCCCGAGGTCACCCCCCCGGCTGTGAGCACCGTGGGTGACACTGGGGGCTTGGGTAGCACCTCCCCAGCAAAGGGGGAGCCAGCACTGCTGGGGGAACCCCAAAAACATGGGGACAACCTGGGGGGGCTCCCAGTCCATAGTTCCCACCCCCAGGAGTCCCCTCCTGCATCTCCGCTCCCCCCTTCAGCCCCCCGAGTCCCTCCCCAGGGAGGAGGAAAGCAGCCACAGAGGGAGGGGGGGGGGCACATTTTTTTTTTTTCTTTCTACATTTTATTATTTCAAACCACGTGAACAATTCGGTAAAACATCCCGTGGGAAAAGCAGGGCCTGGCTCCTGGGGGGGGGAAAAGGGGGGGGAAAACGGGGGACAGAGCTGGGGAGGGGAAGAGGGGGGGGGCTGCTCTGTACAGCAGGGTGTCCCCCGCCAGCGCAGCTAGCCCTATGCACTAGGCTCTATTAGAGAGGGCCGGGGGGGGGCAGCCGCCCTCTCCCCCTGGCCCAGCGCCGGACAAGGGGGGGTGGGAGGGGGGGGGCACGCAGCCCCCCGTGCGCCGGAGGGGCCCCCCCCACACAAGGCACACGGTTTCGGCATTACCTGCACCAAGACGACGCGACCACTTAGCACTTGACGCTTTTAAATAGTTTCTTAAAAAGGTTTCTTTAAAAAGCAACGTAAACCAAGCTCTGTGTGTGTGTGTGTGTGTGTCGGTGTGTGGGTTTGGGTTTGTTTTTTTTTGTTTTTTTTTTGTCTTTTCTGTTATTTAAAAGGAATGTTATCAGTCGTGGCTCCTCGTGGGGGGGTGGGGGTCCCTTCACCGGCCCCTGCGGTGGTGGGAGCCCCGCGGCACTTCCCCGGGCACGACTTTTTTTGGATGTAAACGGTGCAGAAGTGATTTCCTGGAACCCAATAAAAAAAAGGGGCTGGGGTGACCGGTTAGCAACCACGAGGGAAAAGTCCCTGCCCCCTGGCCCCACTGGCCAAGGGGGGGGACACGGGGGGGAGGACTGGAGGGACCGGCGGCTGTAGGGGACGGTGGGGATGGCCCCAGGCTGGGCGCCACTGGGCAGCGCACTCCCACCCCACTGCCACAGTCGTCACCAAAACGTCTCTTTAGGGGGAAATCGGGGCCGGGGGGGGGATGAAACCAAAGAGGAGAAGCAGAAATCGCTGGGCAGCGCGCTCCTTCCTTCGTCGGCACGGCCTAAGGGAGAGAGAGAGACCCGTGAGCAGGACCGGGGCTGGGGACACAGGGACGGGGGAGGACACAGGGGACACAGGGCTGAGGGCAGTGCTCCTCCTGTCCCTGCTGGCACCCACCTCGCCACCCTCAGAAGAGCCCGCAGTCCTTCAGGTTGTTTTTGATGATGACGTCGGTGACGGCATCAAAGACAAACTGCACGTTTTTGGTGTCGGTGGCGCAGGTGAAGTGCGTGTAGATCTCCTTGGTGTCCTTCCGCTTGTTCAGGTCCTCGAACTTGCTCTGGATGTAGCCGGCTGCCTCGTCGTACTTGTTGGCACCTGGAGAGGGGAAGGCGAGGCTGGGGATGCCCCACGGCACCACACAGCAGCGGCAGAGCCACCCTCACCCCCCCCTGGGCTAACCCCAAACCCACCCAGCCCCACAGCATCCCACACGCCACCAAACCCCACGCTTTGCTCCCCAGGGCCATGTGGCATGATGGCCATCTCAGGACCCCCCCCACGCACTGCGGGGACACTCCTCCAGCCCTAAGGATTCAGTGCAGAGCCCCAAAGGCTTTTTGGGCAGGGACCACCGCTGCACAGCCCACCGCCAGCCTCCCCTGGCAGGGGATGCCCCACGCAGCCGCTGCTGCCGGCTCCGTACCGCTGTACTCGGGGAAGCAGATGGTCAGGGGGCTGTGCACGATCTTCTCCTCGAAGAGGTCCTTCTTGTTGAGGAAGAGGATGATGGACGTGTCCGTGAACCACTTGTTGTTGCAGATGCTGTCGAACAGCTTCATGCTCTCGTGCATCCGATTCTGGCAGGGGACAGCACCATGTGAGGCAGGGGCAGGCACCGTGCCGCCAGCCTTCCGTTTGGCCACCAGGCTGGGCTGGGACACTGGTGGCCACCAGAGCAGAGCACGGGGTTCAGCACTGCACAGGAGGGCTCCTGGAGAGGGCACCCCAAACCTGGATGTCCGCCCCCCTTCACTTACCATCTCCTCGTCTTCTGCCAGCACCAGGTCGTAGGCGCTGAGGGCCACGCAGAAGATGATGGCCGTCACCCCCTCGAAGCAGTGGATCCACTTCTTGCGCTCCGAGCGCTGGCCGCCCACGTCGAACATCCTGCGGAGCAGGGGCAGTGTGGGCAGGCAGCACCCCCGGCCCCACCAGCACCCCCAGCCCTGCCTCAGTTTCCCCAGCAGACCCAGGAGAAGGTGTCCATCAAAGGGCAAACAGGGGCAGGATCAGGCCGCCCATGCCTGGAGGCGTCACGGCCCTGTGCCCACCTCCAGCAGAACACCCCGCAGACCCCGAGTGGGCGCTGCTGGGTTTGGGCTAGAGCTGGGGACGTAGCTATGGGAGGATGGACGGGATGAAGTACACCAGGTGCCTCTCCCACTCTGGGCACCAGAGGATGCCCTGGCTCCATGGAGCAGAGCCTGGCGGCAGCGCTGCATCCTCCACAAACAGATCTTTGACTGCTCGGCTGTTGGAGGGGTTCCAGCCCTGATGTGCCCCAAACCCCCTGCCCAGGGGCCCTAGACCCATTCTGCCTGTCTCTGCTGGCTCCTCCAAGCCTTGGAGGGGTGTGGAACAGCCACCACACAGCCTCGGTTGAGGCAGGCGTTTCGGCAGATCTGCTCCCACCCCAATCCCTGAGCAACCCCAACATCACCCCCACCAGAAGCTCAGCACCAGCCCCGCACACCAGCACCAGCACCCAAGCAGGATTCAGCCCTCTGAGGCCAGGGGAGGAGGGCTCGTGTCTGCGGCAGGGCTGGGCGTACTTGAAATGGAGGTCCTTGAAGGTGAAGTGGGTCTCCACGATGCCGGTGGTCTTCACCCTGGTCCGCAGCACATCCTGCTGGGTGGGGATGTAGTCGGCCCGGGCTATCCTCTCCAGGTCATTCAGGTAGCTGGGGAGGGAGCAGAAGGGCGCTGTGTGAGCCAGGTGGTGGGGCAGGGGACATCCTGTGTGCTGGGGGACATCCCGGGGGTGGCACCAGGCACCAACCGGGCTGGGCAACACCAAGCCCCCGGGCACGCAGACACCCCCCATCCATAGCCCAGAGACCCCTTACGGGCTGGGAACACGGGGACAGGGCCGTGCAGCCCCCTGGGGAGCCACCAGCCCCTCCGATGACACAGCAGCGGGGACACGGGGGGGGGGGACGCAAGGAGACGAGGCCGCGGCACCGGGGCCCGCGCAGCCGTAACGCTTCCCCGGCTCGCGGCAGGGAGGGAAGGGGGGGGAACGGAAAGAGGAAAGTATTCATCGCCACGGCAACGGGCCACAGCACCAGCGGAAACAATTTCTGGCGCTGTGCCATTTACAGTCACAAAAAAAAAAAAAAAAAAAAAGCAAACACAAAGGGCTTCATCCCCCCCCCCCCCCCCCGGGAGGAAACGGGCACAGGCCTCGGCTCCCGTGTAGGGACGTCCCTGCTCCTCACCGGAGCAGCCGCCAGCTTTAATCGCTCCGGCTCAAGTTAATTGGGTTACGATAAGCAAGCTGCTTCCCCCGGGAGAATTAGGTGCCCCCCCCCCGGTAATGTGGGGAGAGCCGCATAGAGCTCGCAGGCACCAAGGCCGCGGTGGTGGGCGCGGGGCTGGGGGGTGCCGGGGTGGGTGCGGGTGGCGCAGCGCGGGCGCAGCCAGAGCCAGGCCGCACCTCCCCGGCGCGCTCGAAAACAGCCGGAAACGCAGCCGGCCTCCGGCTGACACAAAAACAGGAAACCAGCGCTGGGGAGGCAGGGCCGCGGCGGGGCTCGGGGCTCGGACCCAGCGCCCTGCCTGCGCCACCGGCTCCTCGCCCCAAAGCTGCGGTGTCCCCGGCCCCTCATGGTGCAGCGCCTGCAGGCATCGCCCCCGGCCCACACGGTGAAGGCCGAGGCTGAAGCAGTCTCTTCATTAACACTAGCCCGACACTCGTAGCACGCTGGGTGCGGCACAAATGTTTCTAGGATGATCTCTTTGGAAGACATGTGTGTGTGAATTGTGGGTCTCAGTGTCCCCGGAGCTGTAGGGACAGCGGGGAGGCTCTGGGCTGGAGCCCCTGCCAGAGGGACCCAACACGGTGAGTGCCTGTGACCAAGCACGGGGCTGCCACCGCTGTGTCTCCTCCGGCAGTCGGCTCTCCGGCATCGTTTCCACCAGTGATCCCAGCGCAGAAGAGCGATCATGCTTTAGGCAGCTTAACTTATTTAATAAATCTCTTTAGGGATAAATTGAACCAGATGCAGTCAATTTACCTATCTAAGCACGAGTTTGCCAGCTAATACGCTAGCATAATGCCGATTTTTTCCCACATGAACTCATTTGGGAAAAAAAAAAAAACAATCAACTAAAGAAGCTACCTCGTGCATCCCGCTCAGAACAAGCATCCCCACGTTTCTTTGGGGTTTTTCCCCCTGTGGTTACTCACTCCCCATGCAAGCAGCCATGGGGGAGAAATGACCAGGAGGAACCCCTGGTTGCCGGATGGCAGAGCCATCTCGCCGGGCTCTCCCCTTCCCGTTTAAACAACCATAGCAAGGGGGGGGAACAAAAAAAAAAAAACAAAAAAAAAAACAGAAAACCTCTACCCAGGAAGAAATTCAGGACTAACCATCTTCTTGCAAGGTGAACCAGCGCTGGGAGCAGCACCCGCGTGAAGAAAACCTGCACCCAGCGTGGAGGGGAATGAGGGGCCCAAGCTGGGGAACGGGGACACTGCAGGGACCTGGTGTGAGTACGTGACGGGGGGCACAGCCCCAACCCTGCTCCTAAACCCCACCGAAAGAGGGAGAGAAGGAAGAAGGGTACTCACTAGGCGGCGGAGTCGTTCAGCTGGTATTCGCGGGAGCGGTTAAAGCAGGCCTGGACCCCGTGGTCAGCCCACAGCCTCCGGATCACGTTGGCAAGGTCCTCGGGCATGATGCCCTGCTCTTCCGCAGCACAGGAGAGCGCAAAGAGCTGGCGAGCGTCGTCCTGCGGGAGAACAGGGCCGGGTGTAAGCTCTGCCACCCTCCGCAAGCCCTGGGGACACCACCCCATGCCAAGGCTGCCCATCGTAGACACCCACAGGAAAAAAAAACTCAGGATGGGCAAAAATCACCTCTCCCAACCCAGGAAGCCCGTGTCTTTCCCCTTTCCTCCCAGTGTTCATGCTTTGGGTCCCCCCATCCTATCTTCAGGGCCAGGAGGTCACAGCCCAGGGGACAGCAGAGCTTGGGCAGGGCCACCCTGAGCACAGGTTCAGCGCCGGCAGCTTCAGCTCCCCAGAGGGGCTGGGGCACACACGGGGGCACGCACCGCTCTGGAGGAATCCCCGAAGTCAATCTGCAGGTTCCCCATGGCCTTGATGATGGCCATGATGGACTGGATTGTGTTGCTGTAGACCACGGCTTTGTACTGCCGGCACTCCTCCTCTGAGTAGCCATCTTCGTGGATGATCCTGGGGGCAGGGGACAGGGGTCAGGCTCTGCCCCGAGTGTGGTGCCAGCAGCCGGGGGCTTCCCACAGCCTCTTCAAGCCTGGGAAGCTGCTCCAGCTCCGGCACCACTGAGGACAGACACCGAGGACACGCTCAGTGCTGCAGTACCCCAGCAGCCAGCACCACCAGCTCGGAGCCTTTCCTCGTGCTGGGGACAGCCCAGCAGCACCCACGGTGCCCCACCAGGGACGGGGACGTCCCCAGCAGCCCCGCTCCTCCCCGTCAGGTATTGGCTTTCACGGTGGCACTCGGCACAGCCACAGGCACCTGAGCTCACCGCCTCCTCTCACCGCATGCAATGAAATATTCAAAGGACAGCGCTCTGGGTGACTGCCCCCGCTGGCTCTAGCCTGGTGGCAGGGGCGCTGGGGACATTTGGGACAGCCATAACCAGCCCTTGGGGTGCTGGGAGGGACGGGGCAGGCCTGCGGACTACTCACTTCATCTGTTTGACGATGGTGCTCTTCCCAGACTCGCCGGCACCTGCGGAGGAAGGGGACAGACACACGGACGAGCTGTGAGCTGCAGCCTGAAGCCAGGGATCCCCCTGCCACCGCGGATACCCCACCACACGCTGGGACCCCGGTGGCACTACAACAACAGGAGAGCAAGGCTGGGGGGACAGAACCCAGCACAGGGCCGTTCTGTGACACCCAGGGTCATCGGCATGGCTGGGAAAAACCCAGGCAGGTTTGGCATCGGCCGGGGATGTGTCACCCTCGGTGGCAGCTCCGCCACCACCCCGAGAAGAGGGGACGTGCAGCTCGCACCAGGCTGTCCCTCCCCGGGCCGGGAGGGCGGAAGGAGTGAAGTCATCCTGGCTGCAGAAAGGGGAAGCTGAAAGGGGAAGCTCGAAGGGACACTGCCCATCCCTTGTCCCTTCTCTGGGCTGGGACAATGGCCTGGAGCAATGCCCCAGCGCAGGGGCTTCGAGCAGCACCCCTGGGGGATGCCAACAGCAGAGCTGGGTGGGATGCAAGCCCTAAGGTCCTCTGGTGTGAGGTCCCAGCAGCACGGCAGCTGGGAAAGCCTCTTCCAGCCCTCCGTGGGGATCCCCCAGTCCGGGCCACGCTTCAGACCTGGCCCCGGCCCCCCACCACAAGGGCTGCTCGGACCCCGGGCACTGCTGGAAGGTCCCGGTGGCCACAGAGCCGCCCTTAAAGAGGGCCCCAAGCAGCCAACGGCAGGGCTGCTCCGCCGCTGGCCACAGAGGGGGAAGAGAGATTACAGAGGAGCTCAAAAAGTGGAGATTATGCTAAAATTAACCTGCAAAAGCACAGCTCGTGGTTGCGGCTGAGACGCAGCAGCAGGGAGCAAGGCGGCTGGCGGGGCACGGGCAGACGTCACCTTCTGCACGGGTGACAGCCGTGTGCCCTCGTGGGGAGCACCGTGACCCCACGCAGCCCAGGTACCACGAGGCCACACAGGGGTTATAAGCTCACCACGGCACCGGGAGCCCGCTGCCTGCTTCAGCTGCTCTGCTCTTGCGAAAACACGGCGGCACCGCACTCGTGGCTGTTGTGAGCCTTTTCTTGGCTCTTGCCCCAGGTGTCCCCTACCGCACCTCCCACGCTGCCGCTGCTCTCTCCCATCCAAGTCCCTGAAGCCACCGTCCTTCTTAACCCCAACTGCTGTCCCCAAAGCCGAGTGCCAGCAGCGAGGGTCACAGCCCGGTACCCGCCAGGCAGAGCATCCCTCTATCCCCAGCCCGTGCCGCAGGGCCACGAGGCAGCAGCACCCCGCACCCAAGGCAGGACCCGGCACGCATCTGCGGCATCTTTCTTTGGTTACGGGGCTCCGCGGATGACACGTGTTTCTCATTTGGCCCAAAATACACAATTTGGCTGGAACCTCGCAGGCTTGACCCGACGGAAATAAAACTGTACTTGGTTTGGAGAGGCGGATCGGGTTTCTTTCTTTCTTTCTTTCCACCCAGAGCTTCCCCCCGTCTCCGAAAGCTGTCTCCTTTGGAAAAGGATCCCCGCAGCCAGCCACGCCGCGCGGAAAATCCCTGCTCAGACGGGCTGGCTGCAGGGCCACGGCACAGGGCAGGTCCCCACGCAGGGACAGCACCCGGCACAGGGGACCCCAGGCCATGCAAGCACCCCACGCACGGAGAAGGGTCCCGGGAGCAACATCAGTGCCAACCCCATGCGGGGACACCATGACAGCAGGAGCTGGCGTAGGGCATCAAGCATCATCCCCACGCACCCCAAGCACCCCCAAATCCCACTCCTGCAGCCCGTAGAGGTGTCCCCGTGGCGGGGGCTGCACATCCAGCCCGCTCCCTGCCTGCACATCGCTGCTCCCCTCTCCCCACAGCCTCGAGGGCCCCACAGCTGCTCCCCAGCCCTGACCCTCGCCTGCAGCAGGGCCCGTGGCAGGAGGAGCGTGGGGAGGGACGGAGCCCGGCCGCCGGCGCACGCGTGCGGAGCCGGTTTTCAAGCGGAGCGTTGAGTCACGTTAGCTGCGGGGAAGGCATTTTTCCCCTTTCGTAATCCGTATTTAGCAGGAGCACTTTAGTACCTCATTAACTCTGACAGCCTAATCCCAGCCCCAGCACTGCCTGCAGAGCTGGGGGTGCCAGCACTGGGTGGGATGGGGCCTCCAGACCTGGGCACCTCTCGGCACGGGCAGAGCCCTCGGGCTGGACACCGGGACCACCGCAATGAGTCTCCCCTTCCAATTTCCCTTCCAAATCACCTCCTTTCCCTAATGAGCCAGTAATTGCCTGGGGAGCTACACTCAGTGCGACCGGGTGCTGCCGCCAGTGCGCAGACAGCAGCTGGGACAGGGACACCACGCAGGTACAGGGAGCCAAACCATCCCCTCGCAACCCCACACGGACAGCACAAGGGCTCAGGGCACCCCTGGAAGCTGCTGCTCCGGGGATGGAGGCGCGATGCTGCCACCCGTGCCCTGTCACGGCCGGGCCTGGCCCGGATCACGGCCGCTGGGACATGACCACGCTCGTTCCCAGACTGTCCTACAAAAATAGGAGGAGAGCGCGTGCTCCTGGGCTGCTTTTCCCCGTTGAAAATAAGCTTTTAAAATTTTAAAAGTAAGCAAGCAGATGGCCAGCTCCAAAACGCAGCCTCCCAGCCGAGGAGAAACTTGTTCGGCTGCGGATCCGGCTTCCTTTTGGAGAGCCCCAGAGTTTGGAGACCCCAGAATCACCAGGAGCAGGGCTGGAAAACATCCCCAGCCCTGAGCAGCCACCAGGATGCACCCCTCGGGCAGGCGAGGGACTGGTCCCTCGGACTGGCCATTGAATGGGATTTTCAAAGCTCTGCATTAAAAGCGTAGTCACCACGGATGGGAGAAAAAGACTTAAAAAAAAACAAAAAAAAAATGATTCCCCTCGACATTTTCCTTGCTATCTAAAATAGATGGAAAATTGCTTTAAAAATAATTGCATGTAAGAAAAAAAAAAAAAAGCCACAGCAACGCCGAGTGTTTTTCCAAGCGGCCATCTGACTGCTGCACAGAGCTGGCCGCTCTCCAGGAGGGCCCTGCCAGCCCCAGGGGAGCCGGGTGGGTGCTGCCACCCGGGGGTCCCCACGAACCCCCCCCCACAGGTGCTGTGAGGGGAGAGGTGACAGCACCGAGCCAGGGCTGCCTGCACAGAGCTCGGAGCAGAGGGCGGAGGGGACAGCAGCCCCCGTGTCCCCATCACACCCCAGTGTCCCCCCCAGCCCATCCCAGGAGGCCAAGCACCGGAGCTTGGCTTTGAAGGCGCTGAATTGGGGCTGAAAAGGGGTGCAGGGCACCTGCGGGGCACCTGGGACACGCAGCACGGGTTGGACTGCAGCTGCATCCAGCCACGCCATCCGCTTCCAGGCAGCCGATGGAGACGCGACTCAGCCTGTGGCTTTCTGGCAAAAAGTGCTGAAAGCACACCAAAAAAAAAAAAATCCTCTGCGGGAAGGATGTTCGGAGCGAGCAGGGGAGGCGTGTCTGGGCCAGGAACGGCTTTTCTGAACACCCCCCTGCCACCGACAAGGGACGCTGACGTTTACAGGCCGGACAGAACTATTCCTGTGCCTTTTTTTCCAGGAACCACGAAACTTTCCTTCTTGCTTTCTGCCACTGAAATCCCAGAACAGCGACTCCCACCATCCCCCTGGCACCCTCACGCCCTTGCTCCTGGGGCTGCGGTGACACCGGGTCCTTTGTGCCCCTGTGGGGACACGGGGCAGCGAGATGACCATGTCCAGGGCAGGACAGGGCCACCGGTGCCCACTCCTGGGTGCTGCACAGGGAGGCTTCTGTAACCCGCAGCAGATTTGCACACCCGTGTCACCAACACATCTGCAGACGTGGGCAAGCACCGAGGCCGAGGCTGGGTGCCTGGGCGCACCCAGCACCCACGGGGTGCTCCCCAACCTGCCCCCACCCCACAGCTGGGTGCCCCCCAGCTCGCAGAGTGGCACAGGTTGGAGCAGAGGGCACTGCCCTGGGGTGCTTGCAGCCCCACCGGGCCCAGCTGCCTCCCCCTGCCTGCACACACGGCGAGGAGAGCGGCGCAGGGCGGGGAGGAAGGAAAAGCAGCGAGGCAGGAGCGGGCGCTGCAGGGCCGGCCGCCCGCAGGCACGCGATCCAGCGGCAGCCCCGTGAGCGCCGGGGAAACGCCACCGCCGAAAGTCGCAGCTGGTCCCTCCCTTCCTCTATTTTTGTGCGAGCAGAAGAAGTCGCTGAGCCCCGGTGCCGCAGACACCTCCCCAGCAAGGCCCGGCTGGGGAGTGAACCCAGGGCTTGGCACCGCCGGCACCCAGCCCAGGATGGAGCCACCGTCACCCCCAGGGATGGCATCACCTCGGCAGCACCCCAAAACCACACGCAGCACCCCAATCAGCTCGCCACAGGCCTCCGGGTGTGAGCTGGCACTACGGAGCACACAGCTCCCCGTGGAGAGGGCTCCGGGAAGGGTTTGGGTTTGCCAGCGGCGCCTGCGGGGGCTTCCCACAAAACCCGAGTGAGAGGCACGGATCACCTCCGTGCTCCGGCCTGAGAGCTGGCAGCCAAGAAATCCCTCTTCCTTCTTAATCCCAAACAAGCAGAAAACGGTTTTGGGACTGCTCACTCGCTTGTCCACCACAAGTGACACGTCGGAATGGGTGGCAGGAACACCAAGGACCACGCGCATCTTCCCCACCAAACCCCTAACTGAACCCCACTGAGTTTGAGGGGTGGGTCAAGGCGGGGGGGCTCTCTCTCTGAACTGGATTTCTCCTGCTGTCTGCAAGCCCTGCCCTCAGGGACAGGCCCCGAGGCGCACCCGGGTCTGCTTCACCAAACTAACACAAAAACAGGCGGAAAATTAAAAAAAAAAAAAAAAAAAAAAAAAAGAGCCATCAGGGAGGAAGGGGCCGGTGGCCCCGCACGCCCAGCACCGCTTTTGGCAACAGCGAGGATCCGGCAGCACCGAGGGTTTCACTTCTGCCTCGCGCCGGGCAGAAGGAGCCAGGAACATCTCCCCGTGCCGGGGGGAGGCAGCGTGAAACCCGCCCGCGGCGGTGGAGGAGCCGCCAGGCGGCAACTGAGGGGCTTTGATTTGTGGGCGCAGCGCCGGGAGCCCCGCCAGCACGCACAGAAGCCGCGGCGGCTGCTGGCGGCAGCAGGCAGCTCCCGTCCCCCTGCCCAGCCGGGGGGGCTCCCGGCTCCTCCTGTGCAGCACCCGGGACCCCGCAGCAGCAGGTGCCACCCCGGGGCATCCCCCAGTGCATTTTCCGGGCGCACGGTTCGGAAATGGTCAATAGCAGTGGAGGGCTCCGGCACTGTTTGTGCTTGAACAGCTGCTAGGCGGAGGAAAATAATAATAATAATAATAATAATAAAAGAGTGTTTTCGCTCTGTTTTTGGCTTTGGAAACCCACTGAGATCAGAGAACCGGGCTGGCCCATAACTGCCCTCCTCCTCGGCTCCACCTCAGGGCCAGCCCCGGGGAGCACCGTGGGTGCCCCGTGCGCCCTCGGCTGCCCCTCGCTCCCCCAGCCAGAGAGCAGCGAGCGCTGCTCCCGCATCACCCATCCCAAACCAGGGGCATGGTGCCGCCAAGCACCCAGCTGCCCCCCGGGGTGCCCGAGCACCACCTGGGAGGAGATAACGGGGGGCCAGGACGGGCACACCGCCGCGACGCGACGGAGGCACCACGTGTCCGCCCTGCAACACCCGCGGGGTTTCGCTCCGCCAGCGCCTTCCCCTCCCCGGAAACGAGCGGGGCTGGGGCTGCCCGTGCCTCCTGCCGGGTCGCACAGCGCCAGGGCAGCCCCCACCCCAAAATCCCCGGAGCCATCCCCGGGTAGCAGCAGCGAGGGACGGCTCCGGGGAAGAGGGTGCGCATGGGGCCGAGCTGCTTGGCGACGAAGCCTCGCAGGCAGCGGTACCTCCGGACATCTCGGGGCAGGCGGCGGCTGCACAAATAAGCGGCTGCCTGATTTCACCATGACTTCCTGCTGCTCTCGGCTTCCTCTCTCCAAGAGGGCGACGAGAAGACGGGCGGCTGCTGGCGAGAGGCAGCCATGGGGAGGTTCTCCTCTCCTCCCGTGCCCCCCGGGGTTGGAGGGGGTCCCAGGGGTGGCAGCCCCAAAAGCGAGCGAACGCCGTGCAAGCGAGGCGGGGAGAGGGCCCCGCACAGCATCCCCTGCGTCCCGGTCCCGTTAGGGGAGCGGCACCGTGGGGTGACCCCAAAGGGGATCGGGGAGAGGAAAGGGGTGCGTGGGGGGGTCCCTGCGCCCCGCACCGAGCTGGAGGGGTTTGGGGGTGCCCGGGATGGGCGGGGCTGGGGTGGGGGCAGCACAGCGAGGAGGTGGGAGAGGGGGGCAGCGCCCCTTTTGCGAAGGGGGGTCCCAGGAGATGGGAGGGGTGGAAGCGCAGGGCGGCCCCCAAAAGAGGGCAGGGGGTGGGGAGCCACGGGAAGGGCGGGGGCACGGCCGGGGGATGCCCGGGGCTGGAGAGGGGGGGGGAGGAGGAGGAGGAAAGCACCGGGGGGGGCGATACCGGGGGTGGAGAGGGGGGTCCGGCTGGGGGTGGGGGGGTACCCTAAGGGTACCGGGATGGGGATGGGGAAGGGGATGGAGATGGGGATGGGGACGGGGGGGGGAGATCGGGGGGGGGCTGGGGGATGCCCGTCGGGGGGCGCCGCTCACCCAGCAGCAGCAGCTTGACCTCCCGCGCCGCTTTCTCGCCGTCCTCCCGCAGGTTGCGGTCGATCATGCGGGAGCGCTCGGCGGCCGCCTTGTCCTCGGCGCTGACGGTGCAGCCCATGGCGGCGGCGCCTCCGCTGCGCGCTCCGCCGGCTCTGCCCTGCCCTGCGCGGCGCGGCGCGGGCGGGGCTCGGGGGGGGGGGGCCTGGAGGGGAAAGGGGAGGGGAAAGAGGGAAAGGGGAGGGGCGATGGGCGCGGGAAAAGGGGGGGGGGGGAGGGTGCGGAGTGGGGTTGGGGGTGCGCGGGGTGGGGGCTATGGGGTCGTGCGCACCGGTGGCCATCGCCGTGCCCCAGCCCAGATGTGCCCATGGTGGTCGGACACCCGTGGGTTGCCCCCCGGGGGGACTCATCCCAGGTTTTATAGGGCCACCACGCACCCAAGGAAGGAGATGCGTGGGGTCCGTGCACCGCAGAGGGGTTTGGGGTGATGCTGTGCCCTGGGATGTGTGTTGGGGTGCAGCATGGTCATGCGTTGCACCGTACCCTTCATGTGTGCACAAGCGGAGGTGCGCGGTGCTCTGGTGTGCCCCAGGAGCGTGTAAAGGGCCCTGGTGTGCCCCAGGACGTTGCTCGTTGTTCCATAGTGTGCCCCAGCACAGCCGTGCAGGGGGCCACGAAGTGTCCATGATAGATGTGTGCAGGGCTCAGGACACGGGGGTGTCACGGGGTGCCCCTAAGCAGGTGTGCAAGAGGCCACGGTGTGCCCTAGAGCAGAGGTGCACGTAGCGGTGGTGTTCCCCGGGACAGCGATGCACGGGGCCATGAGGTGCCCCAGGACAAACAGCGCAGGGCTGTGGGGTGCACAGGACAGAGGTGTGTGGGGAGATCGCTTGCCCAGGACAGACGTGCAGTGGGGCACCGTGCTGCTGAGAACAGGCCACGGAAGGCTCAGGACAGAGGTGCACAGGATCACCGTCACGTGGGCATTTTGTGCCCAGGACAGATGTGACTTGAGGCACAATTTGGCCCAGGACACTGTGCATCGATCCATGATTTGCACCTGGACAGGTGTGCCATACCGTGTATCCTGTGGTGTCCCTGCAGCTCCCTCTGGAGATGCGATGTGGGGCCAGCCTGCATCCCAATGGGGGTGTGTGGGGGGGTGTGGGGCAGGACGCAGAGCCTGGGCACTGCATTTTGGGCCACCTGGGGGCTGGGGTGCTTTGGGCACAGCTATCTGGGGACAGCCCTGGGGCCAGCAGTGCGTGTCCCTGTGTCCCAAGGCAGCCTTCAGAGTGGAGCCGGTGGCACTGGGTGGCAACACAGAGCTTGGGGACCTGCCGTGGGGCTCAGCACCTGGGGACCCGTGTGTCACACTGCCGGATGGCTGGGGACAGGAGGTCACACTCCTAGCGTGCCACTGCCAGTGCCCCCAGCTTATGGGGAGCGCTGGTGCCAGGCTGAGCTCTCCCCACGGGGACCCTCATTTCCCAGAGCCGAGGACCCACAAAATCAGCCCCCCGTTGTCGCTGGGGGGAGGACGTGTCCCCAAACACATCGCGCAGGGGATCTGCCCCCCCACCCCCGGCCACCCTGCGGCACCCCCGTGCCTCCCAGCTGCAGCCACCGTTGAGGTTATTTGGTGCCAGCGATCCGGATTTGCTTCCAGCCGTCACCGAGGGCTTTCCTCGGGGATTGTTCGGGGAAAACAACCCCACGCGTGGAGCCCCCACGCTGCGCCTGCCCCACGGGCTGCCAGGACGCGCGCCTCCACGGGATGGGGCAGCCACGGTGCAGCGGCGGGGAGGGGACCGGAGCTCCACCGCAGGGCTGAGGGGGTCCCCGCGGCGTCCCGAGGGCAGCCGGGGGTCTCCCACGCCGTGTCCCAGCCCCACGCCCCGCGTGGGCAGGGCGGCAGCGCCCCACGGCGCCCGCGGGGGTGCGCGCAGGAGCCCGGCCGCGGCCGTCGGTGGGGGCGCAGCGCCGCCGTGCGCCCGGGGAGCCCGGCGCTGTCCCCGCGTCCCCGCTGTCCCCGTGTCCCCACGGCCCCCCCTGTCCCCGTGTGTCCCCCCGTAGCCAGCAGCCCCCCCCTCCTGCTCAGACACCCCGGCACGCCTCACGCCTTCTTTTCCTCTTTATTGTTACTCGCACGGGTTTCCTCGGTCGCCCTCCTCCAGCACAGAGCTAACCCCCGCTTATAATTTAAAAGCGCCGCCCCCGGGCAGCCCGGAGAGGTGGGCAGGGGTAGGGGGGCTGGGGCTGGTGCCCTGCCAGCCACCCCGACCCCATCCACGGCCCCCGGAGCTACCGAGAGCCACGCAACGCGTTAAAAAAGATCTACTCTTATATACAGTATTTATAAAAAGCGTCCCAGCCTCCACCACCCCCGTAAAAAAATACGTCTCTTATTTACTTGGCGAGCCCCCCGCTCCCCCCCACCGGCCTCCCTCTCTCTGCCCGCCCACGCCCCCCCGCTGCCCACCGTGGAGGGAGATGTCCCCCCGCACCTCGGCACGGCTGGGCGATCCCAATGGCACGGACAGACGGACGGACAGACGGACGGACAGGCCGGTGGCAGGAGAAGGGTGCAGGCTGGGTGGTGCCCATCACCCTGGCATCAGGGGATGCGTGCAGGACAGCAGCTCCAAAGCTTCCCCCCCACCCCACCCACCCACCCACCCAGCCGTCCCCAAGCCACGCTGCCCCGCGCACCCCAGCCAGCACCCCGGGGTGCTCGGGGTGCTCACGGTGCCCCCGGGGAGCAGCAGAATGGCCCCAGCGTGGCCGCTACCGGTGGCCAAGCCACAGCACCTACGGAAACCAGCAGCAGCCACCCCCGCTGTGTGTGTGTCGCCTTCCCACAGGGACAGGGACAGCCCCTGGGGACCTGGGCTGACAGCAGCCAGCCGGCCCCTGGAGAGCTCAGGAGCGTGCCGGGGGTCACGGGGGGCGAAGGGGGGAGCTGGCTCGGAGGGGACGGGGACAGCAGGGGACAGGGCGGGTGGCTGGGGCACTGCCCAGGGGTGGCCACCAGCCCCGCAGACGCTGCCCTCAGGGCTCTGGTGCCAGCGGAGGACAGGAGGATGCCCCCGAGCCGGGCTGGCCCCCGAGCCCTCCGTCCCCTGGTGAGGTAGGGAAGCGCTGATCTCCCCGATTCACAGATGGGGAAACTGAGGCGCAGAGCAGGGAGGTGCGGGCACGGGCTGGGGTCCCCTAAGCTGGCCGTGTCTCGTGCCCCCCTCCCACCAGCCAAGGGCAAGGGCAGGGAGGCGAAGGTGGGGGCCCCGGGGGGGTCCTGGCAGGGTTGGGGGGGGTCAGGGTGGGCAGCCCAGGGTGGCTAGTGGCTGCCGCCACTCCTGCCCCCCCCCGTGGCCCAGTCGATGATGATGAAGCTCAGGCTCATGATCATGAAGAGCACCCCCAGGAGAGCGAAGCAGGCGGCCTGCGAGGGGACAGAGCAGAGGATGGGGGCTGCCCACCGCCACCCGCCACCCCAGACACAGCCAGGAGGGGGGCCAGGGGGCCCCCACCCCAGTGAGGACTCAGGAGACCTCATCCACGTCTCCTCCGTCCTCACGCCCCTGGTGTCACCCTGCAGGGGACGGCAGCGTGGCGCATCCCTGAGACGCAAGGGCTGGCCCCCGTCCCTGTGCTCGTCCTCCCCCACCAGCACCCAGGGGTGGGGGCCCAGGGCTTACCAGGATTTTGGGGGTGGAGCGCAGGGGCTCCTTGTCCTTGGGCATGATGCGGATGTAAAAGATGGCCGGGAAGATGAAGATGAGGCAGGGGGCAGAGGTGGCACCTGCGGCAGACGGTGATGGAGAGGGCAGGGTGAGCCCTGCAGCCCCTGCCGGGTCCTGCCCTGCCCTGGGGAGCAGCCCGGGGGGCACAGGGATGGGGCTGGGGGCTGCTGGAGGGGGGCACGTGGGGGGGGCTGGATGCCAGCGCTGCTGCTCACCGATCATGCCAAAGATGCCAAGGATGGAGGGGGCAAAAATGACCAGGAGGTTGATGAAGGTCAGCAGGACCACGGCGATGGCGACGTGGCGGATCCAGCTGAAGTTCTTGCCGTGGAACAGCATCTGCTGGATGGCCCGGCGCACCTGGGGGTGGGCAGCAGGGAGGGGAGGTCACGCTCCATCCGTGGAGCCAGGGGTCACCCCGTCCCATCCCATATGCTCCCTTCCCATATGCACCCATCCCAGTACACTCCCAAGCCATACGCTGCCATCCCATCCCACCCACCCCATCCCATTCTTTCTACTCACACCCCATCCCATTCCATCCCCATCCCATTCTGTCCCCTCCCACCCTGTCCCATCCCATCAATCCATCCCATCCCCATCCATCCCATCAATCATCCCATCCCATCCCCATCCCATCCCCTCCCATCAATCATCCCATCCCATCCCCATCCCATCCCCTCCCATCAATTCATCCCATCCCCATCCCCATCTATCCATCCCATCCCATTCCGTCCCATCCCATCAATCCATCCTATCCCTATCCCATCCCCTCCCATCAATCCATCCCATCCCATCCCCATCCCATCCCATCTATCCATCCCATCCCCATTCCAGTCCCATCCCATCAATCCATCCTATCCCTATCCCATCCCCTCCCATCAATCCATCCCATCCAATCCCATCCATCCCTCCCCTCCCTCCCTCCCATCCCCACCACCCCACTGCTGCCCAGCCCTGTCCCCACACCCCCCCTATTCCTTGTTCCTCCCCCTCTGCCTCAGTTTCTCCTCTCAGCACTTGGAGCTGAGGCCGAAGGGTTGGCAGCCTGGTGTCCCCAAGGTCCCCGAGGGGCCCCTCACCGGGAAGAGGACGATGGGGACGGTGAGCGTGACGGCCGTCAGCACGGCCACCCGCACGCAGAGGATCAGCACGTCGAAGGGATCCACCCTGCTGTAGGTGTGCAGCAGCTCCGACTCCACGCGCCCTGGGGGCACCGCGGATGTGGGGTCAGCACCAACACCCCCGGGACATCCCCCGGGGTGCCACCATCCCCTGCGCTGCCCTGGGGCTCACCGTAAAACGTGAGGTAGCCAAAAAGGGCGGCCAAGAAGTACATGAGGTACATGACGGCGATGGAGATGTTGGAGATGCACTGCATCTTCTTCTTGGAGGGGCTGCGGGAGATGGGTGTCAGCTCCAAACCCCACCCGGGGGGC